TTCCCTCCTCCTCCTCCTCCTCCTCCTAACCATTCCTATCCTGCCTCCTACTTCCTATCACTACTCATGCTCCTGCTCTGCTCCTTGCTTCCTTCATACCGCGGTCCTGCAAAATCCCACCAGCCCTTTGGGCGTGAGTGGTTTAGAAAGCTCTCTCTGTTCTCAACCACCCATCTTCCCCTTCGGGGAGGGGTTTACCCCTCCCCCTACCCCCTCCCCCTGGACCTGGAGAGGGAGTTCCGAGTGGTGTCAAGGGGGTCTTTTCGACTCCTGGGAGGGCCAAAAAACGACGACCCTCACGAGGATTCTGGCCCCGAGGGGGGGGGGGGGGGGCAGTTTGGCGCCTCCGACCGTCTTTGAAGCAAAACACATTGATTTTACTACGGTGTTGGCCCCATTTTGGCCTTCTGAGGGGGCCGCGCTCCTCTTCCTTCATAGCAACACCACTGAGTTTACGAAGGTTTGGGCTCATTTTGTCTTTCTCCGGGGCCAGCGCTCATCTGCGCTTCTGAGGAGGTCGCAAGAGGCCCCAAGATAGTCCCAAGAGGCTCCCAGGAGGCTCCCAAGAGGCCTCCAAGAGGCCCCCAAGAGGCCCCCAAGAGGCCCCAAGAGGTCCCCAAGAGGCTCCCAAGAGGCCCCCAAGAGGCCCCAAGAGGCTCCACGAGGCCCCCAAGAGGCCCCCAAGAGGCCTCCAAGAGGCCCTCACGAGGCCCCAAGAGGCCCCAAGAGCCCCCCAAGAGGCCACACGAGGAGCCCGAACGACTCACACCAGAACGAGAGACCCCGAACGACTCACACCACGAGGAGCCCGAACGACTCACACCAGGAGGAGGAGCCCGAACGACTCACCCCAGGACGAGGGGCCCCAACGACTCACACCACGAGGAGCCCGAACGACTCACACACCTGGAGGGGCCCGAGCGACGCACACCAGGACGAGCGGCCCGAACGACTCACACCACGAGGAGCCCGAACGACTCACACGCAAGGAGGCGCCCGCACGACTCACACCAGGACGAGGGGCCCGAACGACTCACACTATTAGGAGCCCGAACGACTCGCACACAAAGGGGGTCCCGAACGACGCACACCCGGACGAGGGGCCCGAACGACTCACACCACGAGGAGCCCGAACGACTCACACACAATGGGGGGCCCGAGGTACTCACTCAAGGAAGGACGAGGCCCCCAGGAGGCTCCCAAGAGGCCTCCAAGAGGCCCCAGGAGACCCCCCAGAGGCCCCCAAGAGGCCCCAAGAGCATCCAATAGGCCCCCAAGAGGCCAAGAGGCCCCAAGACGCCCCAAGAGGCCCCCAAGAGGCCCCAAAGAGACCCCCAAGTCCTTCATAGCAAAATCCCACCAGCCCTTTGGGCGTGAGTGGTATAGAGAGCCCGCTCTGTCCTCAACCCCCCTTCTTCCCCTTCGGGGAGGGGTGTACCCCTCCCCCTACCCCCTACCCCTGGACCTGGAGAGGGCGGGCCGAGTGGTGGCAAGGGTTCTTTTTTCGACTCCTGGGAGGGCCACAAAACGACGACCCTCACGAGGATTCTGGCCCTGAGGGGGGGGGTAGTTTGGCCCCTCAACTCGTCTTTGAAGCCAAAAACATTGATTTTACTACGGTGTTGGCCCCATTTTGGCCTCCTGAGGGGGCCGCGCTCATCTTCCTTCATAGCAAAATCATTGATTTTACACAAAGGTTTTGGGCTCATTTTGTCCTTCTCAGGGGGCAGCGCTCCTTTGCGCTTCAGAGGAGGTCGCAAGAGGCCCCAAGATGGCCCCAAGAGGCCCCCAGGAGCTTCCCAAGAGGCCTCCAAGAGGCCCCCAAGAGGCCCCCAAGAGGCCCCAAGACGCCTCCAAGAGGTCCCCAAGAGGCCCCCAAGAGGCCCCAAGAGGCCACCAAGAGGCCCCCAAGAGGCCCCCAAGAGGCCCCAAGAGGCTCCAAGAGGCCCTTAAGAGGCCCCACGAGGAGCCCGAACGACTCACACCAGGACGAGGGGCCCGAACGACTCACACCACGCAGAGCCCGAACGACTCACACCACAAGGAGGGGCCCGAGCGACGCACACCAGGACGAGGCGCCCGAACGACTCACACCACGAGGAGCCCGAACGACTCACACCACGACGCGGGCCCGAACGAGTCACACGCAAGGAGGCGCCCGAACGACTCACACCAGGACGAGGGGCCCGAACAACTCACACCACGAGAAGCCCGAACGACTCACACCAGGACGAAGAGCCCGAACGATTCACACCACGAAGAGCCCGAACGACTCACACCAGGAAGAAGGGCCCGAACGACTCACACCAGGACGAGAAACCCCAAACGATTCAAACCACGAGGATCGCTTTCTCTCCCTCCTCCTCCGCCTCGTCCTTCTCCCGCTCCCCCCACAAGGAGGATGTACAAGGAGGCGGGAGGAAGGAGGAACAGGGGAGATATGCGGGGCCAAGCGGACACACGCCTGAAAAAACACGACTGTCGGCATGCTTCGCAAGCGTTGCTGCTGTGAGATGGGCTGGAGGGGATACGCGAA